AGCTAGCAAGTCTGTGTGCAAACTTTCCCGTGAAAAAGTGTTTCCCGTGGCCGCTGTAGTGCTCACAATATATTTTCTCTAACTTTCATCGTAGTTGTTAGGGGACTTGTATTCTTAGCCCACTGGTATTCAGAACCTCAAAGGGAAAAGCAACAAAAACAAACTGGATGGTCTTGTTTTATGGAGAATGCTGTGCACTTCACTTGCAGGAGACTCCTGACTTTGTTGCCTCGACCATGTTAATCCAGTGGACATATTATTAGCAAACTGAAGGCATGGAGATGGGAATAATGAAGTTTCTCTTTCTTCCTTAGGAAGACTATGATCGCCTGAGGCCTTTGTCCTACCCGATGACTGATGTCTTCCTTATATGCTTCTCTGTGGTGAACCCAGCCTCATTTCAGAATGTGAAAGAGGAGTGGGTACCAGAGCTGAAGGAATATGCACCAAATGTACCCTTTTTATTAATAGGAACGCAGGTATGTCTGCTTTGATTTTACTCATTTAAGGAGACTCTCCCTGGCCTAGCTCGTACTGTGACCCTGAGACAGATGGTCCCGAGGATTAGCGAGCGGTACACGTGTTTGAGCTCTGTTGTAAGTTATGGTGGATGCTGTCACAGTTTTGGAAAAAGTGGTGCTGAAAGAAAGCAATTATATTAGTTGGTTTTAAAAATTAAGTTCTTTGTGTAATCTTGTACTGGTGTGTGGGGATGAAGTGGGACTACATGCTTTGATTCCTTTTTAAAGACGTGTAATATCATGGGACATTATTGACCTTTCTTAATTAGATTGATCTCCGAGATGACCCCAAAACTTTAGCAAGACTGAATGATATGAAAGAAAAACCTGTATGTGTGGAACAAGGACAGAAACTAGCAAAAGAGGTAATGGAACCTTTACGGAATTTATGAATAAGTGTAAAAGCTAAAGTAATGCTAGAAGCTAGCATTTATTGTGCACTTACTGTATGCCAAGAACTGTGCTGAGTGCTTTCCACATATGATCTCACTTCATCCTTGCACCGGCTCTGAGGCAGGTCTGACTAGTTCCCTCTCTTACTGAACAGAGAGCAGGCTTGGTGATGTCAGGTGACTTGGAAGGTCTACCAGGTAGTAAATGGCAGAGCTGGGTTTCAGTCATGGCCTGACTCTAGAACCCAGATTCTGGCGCCACTAACAGTATTTTCCCAATAAGTCATGTGTAGAAAGAGGCATCAGAAGAAGGTGCTGATCTAGAAGCCCTTTGTAATCACTTAAATATTTGTACTATACCAAATCAGGCTCTGTCTTCAGTTAACACTTGTGGAGGAGGTGGTGAGGGTGGGGCAGAGGGTGACAGAGTAAATCTGCAGTTAAAAACAAAACATTGCCCTGGCTGGCGTAGCTCAGTGGATTGAGCTCGGGCTGTAAACCAAAGCATCGCAGGTTCGATTCCCAGTCAGGGCACATACCTGCATTGCAGGCCACGGCCCCCAGCAACCGCATATTGATGTTTCTCTCTCTCTCCCTTTCTCCCTCCCTTCCCTCTCTAAAAATAAATAAATAAATAAATAAACAAACTTTTTTCAAAAGTGTCTTCAAATATTAAAAAAAACGCATTATGGCTAGGTTTGAAAAGAAACTAGTTGAATTTTCTTCCAGCCTTTTTCTGAAAGATAGGAAACAGTGGCATTCCAAAAAATACATAACTGTGATGCACATAATATGTTTCAACTTATGCTTTTCCTCACTCCAAAGCTATGCTTACTTTTTTTCTCTGTTGGGCCCTAACATTATTGGATGCTATTTTTCAGATGTGACTTTAATAGGCCTTTGGTGGAAACAGATTCTAATAAGGTTTTTAAAAATGTACTATCAGAAGGCAGAATGGAGCAGGAGAACTTTGGGGAGGACAGTTTTTACTAAAGCAAAAGATAAATAGATTCACTAACAAATCACTTTAGAAATTCCACATACTCAGTTTTGTAATCCTAGGGAGAGAAGGAATTTCTAAATGCCGTAAAGGTAAAAATCTTAAATGAAAATATTGACAATTGAACTACATGAAAAGTTAATACATCAAACACCAGAAATAAAATTAAAAGTCATACAACAAACTTGACACAAATGGCAGAAAAATGGATTCATATCCTTAGTGCACAGGAACCCCTTGCAAATGAATTGATCAGAAAAAGACGTACATCCCCAATAGAAAAATGGGCTAAAGGACATCAATGGAAAATTCACCAAAAAAAGTGCCAATTGCCAGTGGAGACAGAAAATATATTTAAATTCCTTAGTAGTCAAGTGTAAGTTTAATTTCCACCTGTGAAGTTGGCAAAAAATTGAGACATGAATGGATGATAATAGCCCCTCCTGCAGGGCTGCGGGGGAACGGGCATTCTGTTGTGCTCTTGGTCACTGACTAAAAGCAGTCTTGACAATCTACAGAAGCCTTGAAGCCACGCACACTTTTGATCAAGCAATTCCATAGGTAGGAGTTTATCCTAAGAAAATTGTCTGGATGTGCTTAAAGACATGGCTACAAAGTTGCTACATTATTTATACAGCCCCCCCCCAAACTGTGCAACTATTAAAAATTTATATTAATATATCCATTGATATGTTCAAATTTATTATGTAATTTAAGGAACAAAGTGGTTGTGAAACAATATCCCATTTTTAAAAGGCCTCTCAGCAGCATTTGGCACAGTTGGTTCCTCCATGAAATACTTTCACTAGGCTTCCTTGAATGCCCTCTCTCTGGTTATTCTTTCTTCTTCTTTTTTTTTTTATATTTTTAAAATTTATTTTTAGAGAGAGGGGAATGGAGGGAGGAAAAGAGGGAGAGAAGCATCAATGTGTGGTTGCCTCTTGCGTGCACCCAACTGGGGACCTGGACCACAACCCAGGCATGTGTCCTGACTGGGAATCGAACTGGCTACCCGTTGGTTCACAGGCCAGCACTCAATTCACTGAGCCACAGCAGCCAGGGTTGGCCTTTCCTGTATCTTTTCATCTCTCACTCTGAATGACGGAGGGCCCAGGGATCAGCACTCAGCTTCTTGAACATCTTTTCTTCTATATCCACACTCATTCTCTAGGCCTAGATGAGCTTCTGTCAGTCTTGTGGTTTGAATAGTCTTCTGAAGATTCCCAAATGTGCATCTCCAACCTGGACCTCTTCCCTAAACTCTAGACTTGGTTATTGAGCCGTGCTCTCAGCAAGTCCATCTTGGCAGCTAACCATCTCCAAATTAACATCTCCAAAACAATTCCGAATTTTGTCCTCAAAGCTTCTCCTTCCAAGTTACTCAGGTCAAAAACGTTGAAATCACACTCGACCTTGCTATTCTTATATGATATAGCCAATCTTGCAGAAAAAGATATTGCCCTGCCTTCATAATATATCCAGAATCCAGATGTTCCACCCCATTCTGTCCTCTATCAGTCAAGTTCAGGCCCCTCCCTGTCTGGCCTGGATTACTGGGACAGTTTCTAAGTCACTTTTCCGCTCCTGTCTGTGTCCTGTGTTAACCTGCGCTCAACACAACATCCTGAGGGAGTCTTAAAATGTAAGCTCCATCAGGTCTCCGCTCTACTCAGAATCTTCCAGAGGCTCCCAGATCATGCAGAGTCAAGGCCAAAATCCTCGCTGTGGCCCCTGCTACCTCCCTGCCTCACTGAGGCTCATGGCCTCCTTGCTGTTCCCTAAAGTCTTCTACCTTAGGACTTTGAACTTCAGTTGCTCCCTCTGCCTGGAATCTTCTTCCCTCTGCAACATTACTCATTTCACTCCTATCAGATGTCTGCTCACATGTCACTTCATCAAGACCTTGCCCCATCTTGTCCCCACCCCTTACCTATCCTGCGTCTCCATTTGTCTGCAGACCACATAATACCCTCTGGCATTTCTACCTCTACATTTATTGGCTCATGGTCTTTTCCCTTCAAAGGGTAAGTTTCATGAGTAAGCTTACTTTTATTCCTTGCTGTGTCTCTCATTTGGCAAATAAAAGTGCTCAGTACATTTTCCATGAATGAATGACAGGTCCCTTCTCAGAGAAGCCAGTCTTTCCAGTGGCCTCAAGGCCCTCACTGACCTCATCTCCAGCCATTCCCCCTGCTCACTCTCTCCTGCCACTCTGGCTTCTTTCCCGTTCCTGGAACACTCCAAGTGAGCCCCTGCATCAGGATCTTTGCCCCCATGGCTCTGTCTGCCTAGAATTCCTCCTCTAGATATCCCTCACTGCTCAAACTTCACCTTGTGGAGCTTTCCGACCACCAGTGTCCTCTGCTCTCCACCTCTTCCTCACTCTGTTTCTCCAGAGACTGTGCCAGCATCCGTCCTGTGTGTGCCCCTCCCCCAGAACTTAAGCATTACACAGCTGGGACTTGGTTCTGTTGTTCAGTTCATTGACATTACGCCCAGCACCCGAAGCAGTACTCGGCATACAGTAGGTACCCAGTAAATATTTGATGATTGTTTCACAAAAAAGCCCAGAAGGATATATACTAGTAATTTAACAGTTTAGCTATCTCTGGGTATTGTAATGATTTCATTCTTTTTGCATAGCTGTATTTTATAATGTTCCTTATAATGGTGTCTTTGTGTCATACCAGTTGTATAAAAAAAGGTTTTATGTATTTGTGATTTTTTTCTCCCTCCCAGATAGGCGCGTGCTGCTATGTGGAATGTTCAGCTTTAACCCAGAAGGGATTGAAGACTGTTTTTGATGAGGCTATCATTGCCATTTTAACTCCAAAGAAACACACAGTAAAAAAAAGAATAGGATCAAGATGTATAAACTGTTGTTTGATTACGTGAGAAACATCTTCAGTGGCGGAGGAAACTGTCCATTTCTAAGAAAGCATATGAAACGCTACAGCTGTCCCTAGACCTCTCATAAACACTGAAGCAGTTCAAAACTTGAAAGGAAAAAAAGCAACCCTGTCCTCAGAATTCTATCAAGTTCATTAAGAATGTTTCTTAAAGGTCCAAGAAGCAGCAAACAGCATCTGAAGTCACAATCTATTATAAATACTTTATTTCAGTTAGAAGGTACAATCTCTCAGGGGTTTCATAGTTTAAAAAGCTACAATCACATCATGTAATACATAAAAACAGTGCTATAGATGGAACTGCCTGGCTTAGACCATATACATTTCTGCACAGTCTTTATGGGATCTGCACAAAAAACAAACAAACAAACAAAAACCCCAACTTCTTCCTTTGTTCCAATTAATTGGTCTTGTATGTAAGTTGCTTTCTATTCCAGTATATCCAGAGTGGTGAGATAACAAGGCCAGCCACGTAGCCAAAGGTCGCCCCCAGCGTGCAGGAGATGGGCCATACCTGAGGAGACCATGTATGAGATCAAAAGAGAACAAATGTTATATTATTACTTGAGCACAAGTTAAGTGTAACCTAAATATTTCTATATTAAAGCTTAGTGTGCTTTCTTAAAGAATGCCAAAAGTGTAATAAAGTCATAACCGCATTTATCATGAACACTAAAAATGGACACGTTTTAGTTAATGTGCATTCAACTGTAACAAGGCTTCTGGCAACTGTAGATTTAGTTTGATGCTCCCCAAACTGCATGAGAGACATGCTAAAATTACAAATTAAAATTTTGGGTCAGACTTTGTCATAATCTTGGACTCAATTTAGCTCTCTGAGGTTGGTCATTTTGTTTCTGAATCTCCACATTGGCCTGTATTGTATATCACATGAAATGAGAAATGCATATGATGATCAGACCACAAGCAAGACCTAGAATTCAAGCATGTCACGTGGAATTTATAACAAAGCAGTTGCTTCCATCATAAAACTGATGCCACCTTTCAGATACAGTATTGGAACCATCGCAGAAGTTACAGAGCTACCAACTTAAGTCAAACACCTAGAGTGTAAGTTCAACAAAACACTGGCTTCCAGACACTCATTGCTTTCCAGCCAAATTTGTAACATGTCACAATAGTACACAAAGCCAGAAGTAAAAATACCGTTGATTTATTCCATCCACAAGCAGTGCACGTTGCTCCCTAGGTGAAAGGCCCTGTCTTAAAGAAGACTTTTTCATGTTATCTGTGAAGCATACTAGAGCCATTTCTAATCTTCTTCTGGGGGAACAGGCCATAGAACTGTGCTGGAGGTGAACCATCTTAATTACTAGTTCTGTTACCTAAGCTTCCTTGGTTGGTCTGCTGTGGATCTGCCTTATTCCAAATGCCATGCAACAGACAGTAACATTAGGCAAAGTTTCTGTGTGAACAAACCAATGCAGTTCAGAGAGAAGCATAATGTAATTCATACATTCCCCCCCACCGCCTTTTCTACATTTAAACTTGCAGTTGCCTAAATTATGATTTTATGTCCTTGGTGGGCTCTTATTAATTTCCATGACTCAAGCTTATAGCTATGTCTACTGCACAGATTGGGTAATGAACACTAAACTTTTATACTTGAAAATGACAGCCTTAAATACTCATCAGTCACAAATCTAGGATGGACTGTATTGTATGTGAGCTTTGTAGAGATTTTTTAAAACACAAGCATCATCTTCCCCATGGAAGAGTGGAGAGTCTGCTGGATAACTAGTCAGGAGCTTCCTCTGAACTGGACAGTGGCTATCTTCTTTCTCCCAGAAAGTGGTGGTTCGCATTAAGTACCATGGCCTTATTTATGCTTAAATGGAACCTTATGTAACGTTTTCATTTAATTTTGGTCTGCTGTTTTTTAGATAAAATTGAAAGGAACTGTGTAAATCAATTCGTATATTAGCTAAGTTGTCCAACACATGGTATAAAGGAATTAAGACAGTAAAGTATACATTTCCAACTTGTCTTTGGGGATTTATGGGAATTTATTTTTTCTCAAATTCACATCACTGAAACTCTTCACACTTGCCTAGCCAGCAAAAGTTAAATTCTAGAATCTGTCCAATCCAAGAGAAATGGACTAGGAATCTGGAAACACAGCTCTGGTGTCACTTGTTTCATGAATGGGCCTCAGTTTCCTCATCTATAAACATGGAAGATAGATGATTTCCAGGATCACTCCCATTTATCAACTGTGATTCTCCTCTTTTTCACAGTGATCACAGTTGGACATTACCCTTTCAGCTTCACATCCTTCAGATGGTAAGAATCCTGTACATAGATTATTAGAACTCAGAGCAAAGATGATCGGATCATCTGAACCCGAGGTGCCTTAGGTGCTCTGCTGACCTTGACGGGGTTTGGAGTTTCCCATTGCTTACTGAGAGCCTTTTCATTGCTTTGGCTCTTTAGTATTTCTTTTTGCAAAATCCTTCCCGCCACTTTAACTGAAAACCAAAGATTTGTTTTCTATTCATACGCAGATTGTAGAAAATTGCCTTATTTTCAGAAACGCATCTTCATTGAAGGCTAAGGTCTCAACAGAAATTCAGACTAGTCACTGGAACAACTAGTTCAAAGTAGTGAAATATCTGGGAAATAAAATACTCCAAAAATATCTTACGTGAATTTTGCGAGTGCAAATAAACTGCTTCAAATAAGGCCATGTATGAATGAACTTATAGTTAATATTTTTATATATATATATATATATATAAAGTCAGTTCTGAAGTTCTTAAAAGTAATTGTAGAGGCTCCCTGAAATCTTATTTAACACTTTGACGACTTATACCTTTATTCTATCTCTAATGGTACATTTTAGGTTAGCCCGTTTTGAATTTCCATATTTCCAGTAAGTAGAGCCTGAGTTACGGTTTTATTGTGAATTATCTTACTTATTGTAGACATTGCTTCCATTTGATTTTTAATTATTAATTTTTAAGTTCCAAGTTAAATACTGGTTTGTTGGTTGTTGCTTTTTAAGTGTTGTTACTTTAACAGTGTCCCATCTTAACACATGGGATTAAAAATAAAATACCATGCGTAGTTTACTGTCTATGTAAAGCATTGCACTTCTTACCTTAGCGGTTTTTGTTTGATGCCCTGTGTAAACATTTGGGATATACTCTTTCCTCTGTTTCTCCTGTTGTGAGTCTACGCAACATCTGCCAAGTGTTAAGCATCTGCACTTTGTTGTAAAGCTCGCTGTCCCGGAGTAGGGAGGATGGTAATCCCCCGGGAATGCCAGCAGAATTCCAGTTTGGGTTACTAAATTCTACCTTCATCACTTTGTAATTTCAGTGTGGCTCTTTGTTCCTGAACACGTACATATCTTCACACACACAACTCTCTAAATGGCTGCTGTACTTCACCTCCAGTGGAATGCCAAAAGTGAAATAAATATTGGTTAAAAAGTTTCGTCTAATGAGGGGTTAAGTCTTCTTGGAACACTTGCTATTAAATGCCTCAAGAAATCCATGCTGTCAGCAAATTAAAATGTTGGACTGGTTTTGAACATTGTTTCCTGGTGATGGACCAGGCTTCCCAAAGTGGTCATTCATTGTAACGAAGTCACATTTGAAAGAGAATTTCCCTACACAAGGGTGACTTCACTGATTGTTGCCGGGCAAGACAGGGAATGAGGAAGGGAGTAGCTGAAAGGAGTGGGGGGAGGCTGCCCACTAATGATTTTCCTTCAAGCAATTTCTTACCAACCTTACAATTGTTTTTTTAAAAATTAAGCCTATACTAGGGCAACAGATTCAGATTGACTTGTCAAGCAATCCTTGCTTAACCATGTATTTTCATAATTAGATCCTGAAGTTTATAATTTAAAACTATTTACTTGTCTCATATACAGAGATGTTTCTATGTAACATTCTTCATGTCTAAAAAGATTAAAAAAAACACATGGTATTATCTATTGAACAGACGATTCAACTGCATTGCTACACATATTTCTCCATATTATAGTAATCTGCAATGGCTATAAATAATTATCTTGTTTTGTTTAAGGAAAATAGAAAACTCAGACATTCATGTAGAGGAAGTCCTTCACAAGACTTTGCCACCAAAACGACGGTCATCTTTTTACCCAATTTTTATGAATGAAAAATTTTTTTAAATCACAAAATAGAAGAACCCCCCCCCACACACACTGAGTAACAAAAGACAATAAAACAAAGTGGGTAAAACTATTAAAGTTATTGTTAAAAAAGGAAAACATTTAAAAAGTGATCAGCTATGTCATGTGAAGAAAGTATCTTGCTTAGTGTACTATTATCCTTTCTCTGTGTCAGATGACTCCTTACATTTTCATCACTTAAAAAAGGTCCGTGTTCTCTAAAAATAACCAGCATTAAAAAGGCCTAATATTATAGGTTCTGGGTACATGGTATCCGGGAATAAATTATTTCTCTGTAATAAAACAATTTCATCCTAATAAGCTAAAAAAGCTTCTTAATAAATAATGGAGTTATATATAACTTTATATTTTCTCTGTTAAACATATGATTGCTTCTGGTTGAAAGGCATTTCAAAATTACACAAGCTTATTTCCACCTGAAAACCACACCTCTCCTGATAGAACTTTGCTTACATTTTAGGAATGGAAAATGTACTAATATGAGTATATCTGTGTAGTGTTTGGTATTTTTAAAGCATGTTCTGAGTAGTACAGAATAAGAATTAAGAACCCTGGTTTTTGAGACTGGATGAGTCTCAACTCTGCCATTTGTTAAGTATGTGGCTCTGGGCAAGGCACCTAACCTTTGGGTGCCTTGGTTTCTCATCTGCTAAGTGAGGGTCGTCATAAAGCTCACCACCTCCTGGGGTTGCTGCAATGACTACATGGACGATGCGCTATGGGTGACGCACAGCCGTCCCTGTAACAGGGTCTGACACACAGTGCAGGTGACCGATACTCGTGAGCTACACTTGATGGTAATCTTGGTTCATATTCCTAATTGGCATATACACGGTGGAGCAAAAGTCAGTTTATAGGTGTTCTATGGGAAAATAATGCAGTAATTGATAAATAGTGATACAAGAATAAACTTATATACTCACAACTGTAATCCTACTTTCTCCCCCACCCTGTATAAGTTGTTCCAATATAGAAAACTGTCATTCCCCAAATTTCTACAGCTCAGATTTCTAAAAACCAAACCTGCCTAAAATTTAAGTACTTTAAAAATAATTTCTAAAAACTGCATCTGACAGAATTCATGTTTCCTTGTCAAACATGATCCATACATATTACAAATATAAAGTACATATAATTTTAGATTCACAGACCTCCAAAGCCCAACTATGGGCTCCTGGTTAAGAATCCCATCACTCCAACAAGTATTTTAATTAACCATTCTAGTTGGTCCAAGGAATATTTTCAATGATGGAGATGGCATCTGTTTGTTAATCTGTGATTCAAGAGTAAACTGTTCAAATACACTTCACTTAATTATAATATGCACACTATTTTGTGGGTGCCCTTGGCATATATTAAGGGCAAGCAGACTTTTAACCTTGTCATGTCATTACAACAACAGCCACACGCTTTTGAGACTATGTAACAGCCAGTTTGGCGTGCCACTATGGCAGTATAAGCTGCTGCAGATTTCCTTACTAAAATGATGGTCAGGTATTTATTAGATAACTATAATTAGATAATTATGATTTTTTTTTGAAATTAGTTAAAATACTCAACAGAAAGGTTTAAAATGATATACAAAAACATTAGACTACTTTTAAAAAACTTCTTATTTTACTTAGGAACTTTGCTTTTCTGGGAAGGAACACGGGACAGTGGAACGGCGGTGATCAGAGTGTGCGGGCCGGGTCAGCCCCTTCCTGGCCATGTGACCCTGACCAAGGCACTGAATGCCACAGCCCTAGTTTCCCAATCTGCAGAATAGGAATAAGCACCTCTGGTACTTACAACACGAGGATATTGAATTAAATCATGAAAGCTGTACAGTCCCCTGCATCGGTATCATTTTGTACATGTTCTAATGTGAAAAAAATTAAACTTACATGATCACTAACATAAGTAAGTATTTCTTTGGTAACTGACACAGCTAGGTAGTAATTAGAACCAGCAGTTTAGAACAAATAAAGCTGTTCATGAGCAATGTTATACCCTGCTGTAGGAACTATTCCCTTGCCCTTGCAATATAATAATTTTTAATACGTACTATTCTTCACATGAAATATCTAGTGACTATAAAGTTTATAAGAATACACACCACATTGTGTTAACCATATGCAGCTCCCCTAAGAAACAGAAGGGGGACTCCTGCTCCCAGCTGTAGTTTTTCATGATTTTAAGAAGCATTAAGTACCGAAATGGGTTCTAAACCAACCCCCAGTGGACATTTGTGTCATTCTTAAAGAGTCTCATGAATGACTCCAAAACTATTGAGCCTCCACTATAAACCAACCAGTTCAGGTACAAACAAAGATTATTTAATTTGGGATATATTTTAATAAGTTCATAAACTATGTGTTGCAATATAATTACAATTTTTGGAGACGTATATGCTATCACGGGTACCACGGGGGAACCGACCTCTCTACAGATCAGAACACCTTGAACAGTCGAGCAACTCAACAACCATTAGGATTACTGACTCTTTCAGATAAAAAAGGAAGATAAAACCCAGGCAGCCATTTCTAAATTTCTCACAGCTACTTTTTAATTTTATTTTTATTGTACTCATCACAAATTTGTATTTGCATGACAGAATTCATCTTTCAAAGGCTGCTGACACTGCTACTGGTTTTAAATGACCATTTATATTTTCCTCTGAATTTGGCCGTAAGTGGTATTTTTCCAGATGTCCTTAAAGCAAATGCTACTGTCTGATGTGGGAGTACACATACAGATGACCTCCTCATCTGGACTCGTTTCTCTAGTTGCAAATCCGCACCTGTCCGTGTAGACTCCACCACTCTCCGTCTGGTGAGACGTGTTGTCTCCAGTCTGGAACTTTTTGTCAAAGTGACACAAAAACGGTTCTTGCCATGATCATGCCAATGAGTTAATGTGGCCAAGCACCATTCTCTCTCACACTGAAGTTCTAGCGAGCACTACCAGCACAATGACTTCACAACAAACCCACCTTTTAACTCCAAAACCATTCTCTGCCAGGTAAGTATTACAGTTATTTTTTCTCCCATGCTTGCAACACATCTTACTCATATAAATTAGCATTTTATTTTGGTCTGTCTAAAACACTGAATAATACCTTTGGTAAAGGAAATACCACGTAACCTAAAAACAGCTACTCTTCAATAGATAAATCCATAATCTTAGTTTCATCCCTCACTCTAGCATTACTTGTAGTGATTCATTTAGTTATAAACCTTATGATCCCTAGCTTCAATTTTTGAAAGAATTATCTGTGACATCTGTGACTTTAGAAAATAAATAGATGTTTCCCAAATATTAAATTTTTAACCTAATAAAACCAGAGAAAACAAAAAGGACTTTTATATATAACAATGCTTCATTTATCTGGTATCTGATGAGAATAAGTACAAATATTTAAAAGTAACTTAAAATTGCTTTAAAGACAATCAATTTTGCTTAAGAAATAAGTATGCTCAAAAGAGATTTGATTATCTTGCTTAATTCCATTTTGTAGGTAGTAGCATTAATGTCCAAAGTTTAAAGGCATCTAGGTGGCCGGATATTTGATAATTTTTACTTTCTTCTTTACAATTATTAATATTGCTTAAACTTTCTAAATAAATACACACTGTCTTTATAATCAGAAAAAACTGTATTCATGTTTGGAAAAGAAAGAATATTTTTAAATAACACAATTCCATTTGGGGAAAATTATCTTAAGAAAATAACTGGAAAAATCTGTGAAGGTACAGATTTTGATGATAGCACTGTTTATAATAACACAATAATGGCAATAACCTGAATAATCAATAATGAATTTGTTCAATAAATTTTGGAATAACTATATAATGGCATGCTACTAAGCCATTAAAAATTAAGACAATGATACATGCATTACTAGCTCAGTGAACTTTAAAATATTACACATCTTTCTCATACCAGTTTCCTCACCTGTAAAACAGGGACAGAAAGAACACTTACCCCACAGTGCTCTACTAAGCTCACCAGCTATATCCTATTGAGATAGGAAATGAAAACCCTGATGTTGGTGAGCTTCCATTAGATCGTGTACCCCTTTTAAAAAGCTACTTTGCTACATGCTTTTAAAAATTTTCAAGCTCAACATTCAATTTGGCCATCAATCACATTAACAAAAACATGACTTGAAGACCACAAAAGCAATGAGTATCAAAGTTGAAAATGGAATTCCTGCAACCTCTAGCCTATTTAAAAAAACCCAAAACTATACATATCCACAAACTAAGCTTGTTTATCCACCTATATATGAAGAAGAAAAGTGCTGGAATGTAGAACCAGGCTGACCCTGTGGCACTGGGACCTGCTACAAGGAGAAATCGCCTAGATTATGGGGACAGAGGGAACTGGCATCTCTACTGCACTGAAAAACAAAGCAGTTTATGTGTATATGCGTGTCAGCTGCATCAGTTTTATTATCATACAAACATTAACTTTGCTGCTTTAAGTAGCTGAAACCAACCTGCCATGGTCTTTCCCAATCGAGTGGAATAGGAAAGGCTCCAAGCCATGTTCCTATAAAACTAGAAATTGTAGTGATCTGGAGACTGTTCTCCCAAATGGATGTAACTCTGTAAAACACAAATACATAAATCAGTGGTGGTATGTATCTTAGCTGCTGCAGAATCAAACAAAGAGAAGCATAAATTAACACGATGCATACATATTCTGTTCATTCTGTTCAAAATAGGCACCTCAAACTGACATGTATTTACCATGAACTATAAACAGTTAGTTGGCAAGAAGATGTGCTTTTCCGTTGGAAAGCTAATGTGCACATAGTAAAAGTCAGACAATGTGGAACAGCACTTGCAGTGAAATCGAAGTCTTCCTCCTGCCCTTGTCATCACTACTAGTTCCTTTCCCCAGAAGCAACTGCTATTACCAACTTATTACATACATCTATCCTTCCAGAAATATTTTACACATGCACAAATACATTTGTTTACAATGATATGTGCATACTTGCACATATGCACACATCTATGGGTACATCCTTCAAAACAAAACTGAAAGCATCATGTTATAAACCCAGTTTTGCTGTCGTTTTCCCTAACAGTTATAACAGTGCTCCATTGTATGGAGGGGGCTTCATTATTCAACTAGTCCTTCTTATGGCACATTTTGTTTAAACAAATCAATTCTATTTGGTGGAAGATTAGAGAACAACAAAATATTTCAAAAGATTCAGTGATTTTGGCTACCTTTTTTTAAAATTCTATATTTATAGAGGGGAAGGAAGGAGAGAAACATCAATGTGTGGTTGCCTCTCATATGTTCCCAACTGGGGACTTGGCGTGCAACCCAGGCATGTGCTCTGACTGGGAATCGAACCGATGACCATTTGGTTCGCAGGCTGGCACTCAATCCACTGAACCACACCAACCAGAACTGCCTACCAATTGTATCGGCACATTGTTTGCGGGTAGTTTTTATCGCGCGCTCTACTGCCAGTCAACATAAAACGTATAAATATGTTTCCTGCATACAATGTGTTAAGTGTAAAGGTGGAAAGACAAAAAACTCTGCCATTCTCTTAATAGGTCTTGATTTCAGCCTGCTGTGTAGAATATCAGTCTGGTTACAGTAGGGAAAACTCCACCACAATGCAATAAGTGGGCTCCAGATATTCAATTGTTTAAAATGCAGGGTTATTTTGAAGTTTATGAAAAAGCAGTTTCTTTCAGTTAGTGTATAAGGGAAAAACATTTGTTTTGCTAGATTATTTCTTTCATTAGAAATAAGCTGGTTATTTCACCAAAATGTACACTGAATTAAAGAAGTCCCAAATGACAAGTCAGTTTATAAACCAATCTATCACCTGTCCATCTTATTACCCCTCCTTCATCTAAACAAGATTAGAGCTTTAGTTTGTTTCTATTGAACACTGGGGCTGGAAGAAGGTTGGAGTCAATCATCATAAATGCAAAGTTGTGTTACTATTGTTCTTTATGTAACACCTATAGATGCAAGTCAATTTTTTCAACTTGCGTTCAACAGAACAGAGATCTGTTCCAAGCTGGGGAAAAACTGGTGAGTTAAACATAAAGAGAATTGTACTGTTCAGGCAATTTAAGATTTTCTTGGGTAACTTTTGACTGTAGGAAGCTGACAAATGTTGACTAGCTGTCGCTTAACATGTAATTCCTGTCTGTGCTGCAACACATAAAGTGATATGCCTAGACATGCACAGTCTGGTAGAGGCTGAGAACAGAGTTTACTTTCTCTGTTTCCTATGAGTATAAGAGAAGGAAGTTCGGCTGGACTTGGAAGGATGGGTAGCATTTGGTCTTCAGGAACTGGAGAGAGTTGCATTGCAGGTTAAAAAAAAAAAAAGTAAAATTGATTGAGGCCAAGTGGAAGAATGGGAAATAAGACTGGAAAAGTAGGTTGGAGTTAGGATTTTTTTTTTTGAATAACAGCTTTACCAAATATAGGAAACAACTGCCCCCAGAAAGTCCTTTTCTAGCCCTAAAATTCACTCATTTCAAGTACACAATTAAATGTTTTTTTTTACAGATTTGTGCAACCATCACCCCAAAATGAAACTCTACTCATTACAAATAACTCCCCACTCCCTCTTTTCCCTAACCCTAGGCAACCATTCATCTGCTTTCTGTCTCCACAGATTTGCCTGTTTGGAGCATTTCATCTGAATGGAATCATGTAATATGTGGTCTTTTGTGGCTTTCTTTCACTCAACATAATATTTCAAGGTTTGTCTATTTTATAGCATTATAAAAATACTTTTTTACTGCCAAATATTTTGTTGTAGGGATATACCACTTTTTTTTCCCAGTGTCAGTAGATGGACATTTGAGTTGTTTGACTATTTTGCACAATTTGCATAATGCTAATGTAAACACTCTTGTACAATTTTTGTGAAGACACACAATCTTATTTTTCTTGGAGCTATAACAAGGAATAGAATTGCTGGGTCATACGGTATCTGTTTAACCTTCTGAGGAAGTACCAAAGTGCTTTCCAAAGCAGCTGAGCCATTTTATATTCCCACCAGTAGTGCATGAGGGTTCCAATTTTCCCACATCCTTGCTAACACTTGCTATTATCGATTACAGCCATCTCAGTGGGTGTGAAGTGTTCTCTCATTGTGGTAGATTTCAGGTAAGGATTTTAAAAAAGCCTAAAAGTCAAACTAAAGGAGTCACTGAAGGTTTTAAATCAAAGTAGCAATATGATCAGAGCCACGTTTCAAGAAGATGTATGTGCATGTGTTATCTAACGTCTAAGTTCCAGGTTCCTTGGGGTTAGAGGCAAGATCCATGTCTTCACATTTTTCATTGTTAACAGCACGCTTGTGGCCATGGTGGAATTAAGATTAAAAAGTGCAAACATTCAAGAGGCTGTCCTCTATTTTGTTTGAGGCATCCAAGCGTGCTTATGATCTTACATATAGTAAGTACATAAAAAGTGAAACCAAGACCAAGTTCAATAGAAAAACTTTATAGTCTGTCTTTTTAAAATTATAGTTTCATATTTATCAAACTAATTAATACCTTTAAAGTAAAAAATTACAATCAGACTATTAAGAAAAACCCCTCCCTGCAGTAGACTCTCAACTCGTCATTTTCTTCTATGTAACTCAAATTTAAAAGAATATACATTATGGACAGATTTTTAAAGATTTAGTTACTTTCTGCTTTCTACCCTGGAAGAAGAGGATTTAGCACTCTTTACCCACGAGCCTGCCATCCTCACATCACATTTCTGACTCATGACCCCTTTTTGACTGGAACGTCGCCTCTTCTCGGTCAAGTCCCTAGCACTGTATGCGCAGGTTATGATTATGGAAATATTCATCACACAGTGGTTCTTACAGTAAATATAATTTTTAATTTCCCTTAGATGTTAAGAACTGCCTCTTTTCCCACTCTATTTGCTTATGTACCTGTCACTAAATCATCCTTAAATATTCCACAGAAACCAAGCATTATTTCTAAATGCTTGCTGGTGCTCTTTTGCTCTTTCTTTTGTGGAGACACCTCACCTCCTCCCAGTCACTGTCCACACTGACTCCACTGAAATTCATTATATCAAATATTCATTGAAATAAACAGGACATTCTGAATGCTGCCTGTGTGTCAAACACTGTATCAAGTGCCTGGGGCAGTTCACAGTAAACACTGCAAACTATAGATAGTAAACACAGAAAACACTGTGAACTACACAGACCATCATCACAGCAGTGCTTGTGGAGACGGTTGGTTTCTTCATCTAAAATGGAGACACCACACTACTCCTCCTAGTGGCGAAAAGATATTTTACTAAATTATTATATAAACTTCCCCCTTAGCCACGGAATTAGTATTAAAACCAATCCATTTTTACCATTAAGTTTTTATGCCCACATTAAGGCTAAACTACCTATTTCTTATATGTACACATTTTTCATTATTCATATCTTTTCATTCATAATGTCTACAGTGGTTTTTCCAATATAACATCCACTTCAATGCAAAGATGACAGAAAGAGGCCTGTTGACTTTGTCTACACAAATAGGTCTTTACCTTGGTGAGATAACCAAAGATTCAAGAACCTATTCAGAAATTCAGTTTTTTTTCATTTCATCAAAAGTGATCACATTCTCACTTAAACATCTAACCTAACAGCATAAAAGAAGTAATAAATCAAAAAGAAACTCCAATGAGAAATAGAGGTTTAAGGTAGTCAGATTATTTTCCTTTAAAAGAAAGTCTGCAAATGAAAAAAAAAAACCACAATAATTACAATACAAAGGCAACAAACTGAATTAAAGTAGTACAAATTGACTATATTCACTCAGTAATAAACATACCAAAAAGTTGGCAGAACTTTTAAAGAAACCAAATGACTTTTCAACATTCAATTTTCTTTAAAATAGTATGTTTTAAAAAATCTAGAATAACTTTACATTTACTTTAAGGGAAAGTCTTATTAAAAACATCATTTAATTATATACTAAATAAATCTCAATAGTATTCCAAAGTCCTTTACTCTTGGGATATAATTCCAACACAGTCCTCACAATTAAAGCTTTTGTGTTTCCCAGTCTTCAACTTATTACCATCTACTCAACTTAAACATGCAAATAAATACATTAAAAATTAGGATGTAATACTTATTTCACTTCAAAGTAGTATAACATTTATATTGACTCAATACTAAGTGAGATATCAACCTAACTCAAAATTGGCCTGTTTATGCTATCTGAATTATCATATTTCAATAATATCAGGAGGGCTAGCTTTATACAAACAAAACAAAAACTCTACCATGTTTTATACACTAAAACACAGGATAAATGATAAAAATATTGTAACCTCTAAAATCTTCAATCAGTACTTTAAGATATTTTAAATACTTTTAATTAATTAGAACTATAGCATAAGAACCTCAAATCAGAACTTTAATTTCTGTTGTAAATAATTATTGGATAGGAAAATACACACTCATGTTTTGTATAACGTCTTTAAATAATAGAATCCTTTGAATTTAAAGTTGTGACTCAATATAAATAATGCTAACTGTATATGGGACAATTTTAAAATAACACAAAAGTAATTGTTTTTT